GTTCTAAACTTGCTTATAAATCCATAATGTTTTGAATATACTAAATCAGTTTTTTTTTTTTTTTGCTTTTCTTTACTCTGGGGAAACAAAGATCCTTATCACCTTTTCAACAGAATCTGGTAATTTGTTTTAAAATTTAAGCCATTTAGAAAAGCTAATATTTTAATTATAATGTGTTAAAGATTTCTGCTTCTATTGGATATATTTTATTATTAAAAGTATTTTATGATGAATTCAAGTACTTTTCTAAAATACCCTAAAAATGAATGAAGTTAACCTAACAATTTTTATTAGCCTTGGTTTCAGTTTTTATTTCAATGCATTCAGTAATTTTGGACATGACTGCAAGATATAGGGTCAAACATATGCTATTTATTTTTTAAATAAAACAAAATTTCAAAATAATATATTTTATAATAAATTCTGATTATTTGCTTTTTATCCATATGGCAAGTCAATAGTGAAGAGTCATCTACTTAAAAGCAGCTGTTCTGAAGCACACTTCTTTTACTAACTCACTCCAACAATAGACACTAGACCTGTTGACCTCAAATTTCCCATGTATTCTTTTTGCCCCTTCAAAAGAGCAGTGACCTGGAATGGACAAACATTTGGATATCCACCTTCATCTTAGAGCTCAGCACTGCTCCCACTTTCTGCCCCATGTTCATAGTTACCCATGTGTTGCTGCCTCCCAGACTCCAGATGAGTCTGACTGCCAAAAGCGGGTCCTGGGTGGAAATCTTCCCGACTACCTCAGACATCCCTTTCTGCCTAAGAAGTAGTAGAAGCAAATTCAGGCCTATTGCATCTCTTCCTTTGCCTTGTAAGCCAAAGAAAGGAAGCCAATGTAAGTGGAGCACTGTGAGCAGGAGGGAGATCTCAAGGAACTAACTATGTAGGAGATGCAGGCAGGGACCCAAGTTTGAATTACATTCTAGATGCAGTAGGAGGCAAACCAGTCTCTGGGCTGGCATTGCAGTCATTGCCGTGAAGTACGGTGATGATTCAGTCTAGCTTGATGGCACAGAGGATGATGAGAAGAAAAGAGATTTGAGATGCTTTATCCAAAAATGGGAAGGTTAAAGGAAGACCAAGATTGCTGATCAGGGAGGAGCTGAAGCCACCACTCACTGGCAACTTCTAGAAATGCTCCGTTTGAGACAAGCTGTTGGTTAAATAAATGAGTTTATAAATAAGAACAGGAGTGAAAATAGATCAGTTCTAATTGGTTTATTAAGAGTCCAGAAAGTAGCATCCTTTACTGCTAGTATATAAATAATATCATCACTTTATATTGAGACAACAAGAGGACACTTTCTTGTATAGTTCTTAACAAACAGTATGCATGCAACAAACCAGAATTTTAAATGGGATAGAAAAAAAAGTAAACTGAATTTCTCCTATATGTTACTGCTTCTTAGTGTACACTAAATAGTACTCTGTGGATTAATGTCTGTGAACAAAATGGTCTTTCTGGGCCCCATGCTACATGGAAAAATAAGTCTACAAGTAAGCCTATAATTGTTTATATTTTAAGCAAAATATTGGTGTTTAAATAAGAATTCCGATTTGGTAACTGTTAAGCACTAATTTTTTTTACAAGTTGACTTTGCAGATAGGCTATTTATGTTTATTATCGGTGCATCCCATCTCCCTCTATCCACTTCTGTTAGGGCCACAGCAAAATAAAAAGAGGCCAGAACAACACATAAACAATAGATGTAGAGCTCCAGAGACTTCATTCCCCTTTCTTCCCCTCACATCTAAAGTTAAAACAAAATTTATATTGTTTGAAAGGATAAGAACAAATATGTTTTTCCTCCATGGTTCAAAGACCTTTAAATATCACTCCCTTCTAGAAACAGAATATGCCTATTCAAGTGGAATTTTTATAGTTTTGTGAGCCCCCCCCCACACACACACACAGCTTTTATTCATTTTTTAATAAGAAAGCATCTTGGCCATAAAGAGAACAAACTTATATTTAACTTTAGAGTTTTGGCTTCTAAAACTTTTATCTTTCTTCCTTATGTTTTGTTTTCTTTCAAGAGATACTTATTAAGCATCTATTCCATGAAGCATGAAGGCACTTTTCTGGACATGAGGAAACATTAAGTGAACAAAAGGCAGATATCCTTGCCACTATGGAGCTTGTACTCTTGTGAAGAGAAAAGTAACAAAAAATAAGTAAAACAAGCATCATGTAAAATAATGATGAATGCAACAAAGGAAAATAAAGCCAGTAAGGGAGGTGAAGACAGTCAGCAGATGTGTGTGGGTGGAGTGAAGGACTTCAATTTTAGCTAGGGTGGCCAGAGAACTTTTTACTTATAAGGAAAGTTTTTACAGAGACCTAAATGTCGTGTTAAATATCCTTTCTGTAGGAATTGCTCCCAGGTCCCAATTCTGAAAGGGCAACCTGGGGTGAATGCAGTAGGAGGAACATACATCTTCTGTAATAGAATGCTTTCTGAATTATGTGTGCCATTGCTTTCTGCTAAAATGAGAAGTTGTGGATAAGTTGAATAGACGTACTGCTGGAATATTTATAATTTAAAAAAGACTCTGCCAAGGCTTCTATCAATAAGAATAGTCATGAATTCATCCATGGTTCACATCACCTTCTGAATTTCTGCAAATTGACGATGCTTATCTTGAGTCAGGACTTTCATTTCTGGCTTTATTAGTGGCAAGTTGGGATTGTGTTCCCATCTTCAGTATGCCACATATGTCTGTTCCAAAGAGCCACCGGCCCTGTGCTTCTCTGAGAAAAATTGGAATGCAGGGTTTTCACCTGGTTTCCTCTCATTCTTCAGTATAAAGAACTTTCTCTTTCATTGTTGCATAATCATGGTCAGTTATTTATAGGAATGCAGTCGGGTGTTTAGCCATTTTTGTTTATTATTTGGGTGTATAGTTTAAAGTGCTAAATGCATTTTATTTGGAGGCTCGCATGATTTTAAATTCAATTAAAATCCCCTCTAGTAGCTAGACAAAAATGCTGCTTTGTTTCACTTTTTGTTGTTGTTTTCTTTTCAAAGCTAAGAATACTAACTGCTTACATTTCATTAGCAGTAAGCTTTTGGTCTTTATGCCCATATTTATTTTCCTGGATCAATCTTTTCATGAAATAACTTTTTATTTTAGATTCTGTTTAATTTTTCTACATTTAATTCAAACTACCCAGTACCATGAAAATTATCAAGATAAGGTTAATAACATAAGAAAATTTGGGGGAGAAAGAAATACATAGCCAGAATCACAATACAGCTAAAATCTATAAAGGGAACAATGAAGGAGACATAAAACAGCAAATAAAAAAAAAAAAAAGAGGAAATGTAGGATACCTAGTTACAATGTAATTTTAACAATAATAACAATCAATGATTCAAATGCTACCCTGTGCCCAGTTCTCAGAAAGTCCTTTATAGTTGTTATACTAATCATATTAGTTTTCAGTTAACTCAGTGACTAGTATCTAGACAAAGATGACAATAGAATGAAATAAATTACATGTTAATTAAAACATAAATAAAATAAATTTTAATTTTCTAATTTATGTTTTTCATACAGTATTCTCATATGTAAGTCAAATTTTGGGGACATAGCTGTTAGGGAACAGAAAAAGAATAGGAAATGAACTCAGAGCTACTAATTAAGTTTTTAATTAATCCTTTATAAGTAAATATTCAAAGGATTTTAAGAAAACTTTAACATTTTAAAATTTTCCACATTTTTATTAGTGCATTATAGATGCACAAACTGGTGGGATTTATTATTACATGTTCATACATGCACACAATATAACAATACAGTTTGGACAACATCATTTCCCAGTGTTTTCCATTCCCTCCCCTTCTTCTTCCTGGGTCCCATTTCTCTACTCTTCTGATCTCCCTTCATTTTTTATGAGACACCCCTCTACAACCTTTTGGAAAATTTTCATTTTTACTTATTACTGGAAAGCCAAGAATCCTTAGTGTCATATATTTTTGTGTGTATGAATATACAAATAAGTGAAACTTCTTAGAAAATCCAATCAGTCTAACCCATTCTTAGCTAACAGCATAGGAAAGCCCTCTAATAAATCATTTATTAATTTCTAAGTTCGGGGAAGAAAACAAGAGAGATGCAAAAAATAACTGAAGAATTTTTGTGATACATACTTGTGTGTGTAGCAAAAATACTTAACTAAAAATTTAATGTCACCAGATGAATCATTTTTGGAAAATTTCTTTTTCTCTCCATTAGTATTTGTTTTGAAGCATATTCACTGTACATAGGCTATTTAATAACTCCACAACTTTATAGACACCAACAATGAACCAAGTCATGTGTTATTCACTAGAGATAAGAATAGATAGAGTGTCCTGTGTTATGTATACAATTATTATGAGATCAGATAGCAGAAGCACTTAACCCTTATTGTAATCTGATACAATGTCTTTTTGGGGGGGATAAATTTAGCCATTTATGGTAATCATATATTTTATCACCCAAACCATGACACATGGTAAAAGAGTGCCCTACATATATTTTCACAGGACATTATGTGTGACATGAGCATACCAGGACATGGTGCGCAGGTTCATTCCCACCATCTCAGATATGGAGATGTGGCATTTCTCTAAAAATGTCAGGAGGTATACCTGGCCATAATCCTACCCTCATATTCAGGAAGCCGACTCACATCCCCAGATGGCAGGGACCTGTGCGTGCTCTGATTTTTCCATCTAGGAAGCCTTGGAGATATGTAAAATGAGATCAAGTACTTTGACATTATGCTTTGTATAACATTGTGTGGTTTGGGAAATTAACTACAAACCCTTTTGTGATCACCGTGGTCGAGTTGTTTAGCTCTTTCCCTGACTGCTTTGACTTAAGACAGTGACAATGAGTTGAACTTAGCTTTAAAACCATCTACCCAACCACTGCACAGTGACACACGGTGGAGGACGGCACTTTGTGAGTGATGATGGCCTTTGCTTGGGTTGCAGGACCAGTGGTTTTGGCGAGTGAGAAACAACAGAGTGATGGATGGATACCCCATGCAAATTACCTACTTCTGGCGGGGCCTGCCTCCTAGCATCGATGCAGTTTATGAAAACAGTGATGGGAATTTTGTCTTCTTCAAAGGTAAGGATGTTTTTTTCCGTGTTTGCCAATGCTGTGTTTGGGTCATGTTGTCCAGGGACCTGTAGCAGAGACAGAGGTGAATAAGTAAAACCTATTATGGGGGATCAATTAGCAAATGGATTTTATGAAATAAATTGCATGTTAATTAAAACATAAATAAAATAAATTTTGATTTTCTAATTTATGTTTTTCATTCAGTATTCTCATATGTAAGTCAAATTTTGGAGATATTCTATTCTCTGGGAACCTAAAGTTTTGACCTAAAAGCACCAAAAAAAAAAAAAATTAATTAAAACCAGGCATCATAACTATATGTGCCTGTTGTCCCAGCTAGTTGACGGGAGCAGCAGTTTAGCCCAGGAGTTTTGAGACCTGCCTTTGCAACATAGTGAGAACTTCATCTCAAAAAAAATAAGTAAATAACCATTTTTTTTTATTTATTGGTTTATTCATTCCTAGGGTATTTAGAGTTATTGCTGGTTTATGCCATGAAATCTATTGTCCAACTTATTTTCAGATAGTCTTTAAAACTCTACCATATTTAGTCAGTTTACATAAATAATTTACAGTAAACTAAAAAATAATAATAATCATAATCATAAAGGCAGGGAAAGCATATGAGTAGAAAACTTTGCCCACTTATCAGTATCATGAAATTTATTGCCTGTTATTTATCTGAGTAAGAAATTTTAGTTTCACAAGTCCTATTAACTGCCTGACATGAAAAAGTAACAGCTGAGAAGTGAACTTCATGGAATACTTGCTCCTCACTCTTCAAACTTGCTAATATTCAAAACAACCAACCTTAAACCTAGGAGAAAGCAAGAGATGGATTGAGTTGAATTGTTAGGAGAACACACCTGAGCTGAAGGTAAGGAGAACTTCAGTGCAGAAAGAATATGATCGAACATGTTATCCAAGAATCTAAAGGGCCAAAAAACCAGCTCAAACATGGATACATTCTGAGGGGAAAGAAAGAGAATCTTAACCAAAAAGTTCATTATTCTCAGGATCCAACTAGAGGAATTTATGATAATGAAGAGAGTAATGGAGACAAGAGATTTGAGTGACAAAATTTTTAACTGAGATTCAAAGTGCCTGCATGAAATGAAAGTATATCCTAGAATTTACTTTCTCTTCCCAGATCATTCCTTGAAAACAGAAGCAGTATAGTGCATTATATATAAAAGCATGTGTGTTCTGAGGTCATATCACCAATTTTGAACACCCACTAGCTACATGAACCAGGCAGGTTGCTCAATTCTCTTTATTTCAGTTTCCCCATCTGGAAAATAGGGTTTGTATTATTCCCTATCTCAGAATGATTTTGAGGTCTAAATCATTACTACATTGAAAGTACTTGGCACATGTATGTTCTTAATAAATGCCAGCTACTGCTGCTACTGGCAAGATTATTAATGATGCTGTTGCTACCTTTCTGCTATTCTATAATAAAAGTGTAACTCAATTGGACTTGTATTCTGCCACTGCAGGTGAAGCAAGGCTACCACCTAAAGCTTGTCAATCTTAGTAAATGGAGGGAAGTTTTCTCTCCCCTATACCCTTCTTTGGTCGCAGGAGTAGTAGCAACAGAAAGAGGGAAAGGCTAACCCCAGGGTAGCCTCCAGTTTGAGGGCTGGTCCAAGGCCCAGTCTCACCACAGGATCAATAGTGCTCTCTAGCCAGGCACAGGGGCTCACCCCTGTAATCCAGCAGCTCAGGAAGCTGAGGCAGGAAGATTGCAAGTTCAAAGCCAGCCTCAGCAAAAGTGAGGTGCTAAGCAACTCATTGCAGCCCTGTCTCTAAATAACATACAAAATAGGGCTGAGGATTTGGCTCAGTGATTAAGTGCCCCTGAGTTCAATCCTCAGTACCGAAAAAAAAAAAAAAAAAAGTATTCTCTAATACCACCACCTGAGGACTAACTGCCACCATTATAAATCAGGCTGAGACAGCTTTTTTCTTTCTTTCTTTTTTTTTTTTTTTTATTCACTTTGCCTTTCCTGCTCACTAGTGAAATAGCTGGCTCCTTTTCATCTTTCAGTAACTAGTATCAAAGCCAAATCCTGGGTGCCCTCCACACACCCTATTTAAGTCATTCCTTCCCACTGACATGCAGCACTTGTAACTGACATTAAAAAATACCTATAGCATTCTAATGAAAATGTCATCAGGGATAGATCTTGTTTATATTTTTTTGACACCACTGTATGTTTAGTTCCTAAAACATTGCTGGGTGCATAGTAGGTGCTCAACAAACATTTTAATAAAAGCAATATCATTCAATACCAATTTGATATGGTAAGATATTATGTTATGGTGCTAACAACAGCAATAATTTGTCTCCAGCCACAGAATATTTTAATTTCTAGACTGTTACACTTGTCAGCTTTTGATACATTCTGAATACTAGGAAATATCTCCTCTAAGAAATTTTGTCACTCCAAGGACCCTGCCCTGATGCTGTTCCTCCAGTTTACTCTCCTGGCCACTTCAGTTGACTTTTCAGAGCCCAGCTAGACATGGATGAGCTCTCCTCCTCCAAACGCCATTGCTATCCAAAGGGAGCCAGAAGTCCTGGGGGTGCCCAGTGTCTAAGGAGGGAAGTGGGAGCCTGAAACCCTGGGCTTAAGTCACTTACTTTCTCTATCTTCATCAGAGCAATCACAATCAAAGTGAAAGTCCCTGTTTTGCACTGTCTCCTTATATCCTTTATCACCTCAAAAAAAAAAAAAAAAAAAAAAATGCAGAGACCCACCTCACTCCTCATCCAAGCCTGCCATCACCATTTACCATATGGGTCATGAGGCCATCTGCGCCCCTCTCTGGCTGTCCCAACCTCCTTCCTGCTTCAATTTTCTACATAGCATCTGACAGAAGATACAAGTCACTCATGTACTCTTTCTCAGCATCCTTTCCACTAAAATGTCAGACCCCCAAGGGAATGGTTTTCTTCCCTGTTCCTGCTCGGCTCTCCCTTTGGTCCTGTCTTATCCCCAAATCTTTAACCAGGATTTGAAAACTTTGTTCTGTAATCACCAAATAATAAATATTTTAGATTTTGTCATTACTATAGTCTCTATTATACATCCTCCTTTGTTTTTTATTTGTGTGCCTGTTTTATTAATCTTTTAAAAATGGGAAAATTATTCTTAAGCCACAGATCATAGTTTGTCATAAGCCTCTGTCTTAAATGATAACTGCAATAGTAAGCACTCAACAAAGATTTATAGAATAAACTAAGAATAAAATGCAAGCCCTATCCTGTGACCACAGAGCTAAACATGTTGGTCTCAGGCTACACCAGTTAGATTGGGCTCCTATCACTCATAGGTTCATGCATTACTTCTTTAATTTTTTCTTTTCTTGTGCCTTTCTTGTCTTTATTTTTCATTCCTTTCTTTTTTTTTTTTTTTTTTGGTCTTTGACTTTTCTTCTCTGAACATAGGACTTTTATTTTTTTGTCTTCTAATTAATACTACACAATAATGCTCATATTTAATCTGCATAATCTCATATTTTCCCCTTTAACCAAAGTCCATGTTCATATATAAAACATTAGCCACATATTCCCTAAAAATATTTGGTGTTAACCTTGCTTTTATCTTGTATAAGAATTTGAAGACATAGATTCAACTATTTAGTTATAAATTATAAATGCCATCTTAGTAATATAAAAATAACCACAACCTTAATATTCATATAAACTCATAAATATCTTTGAAAGAATGGGACAATACTAGTCATAATTCAAACTACATATTTTGGCATAATTTACATATTTTCTTGAACTGTGGACAGAATTGTATTTGTACATTTATATTCAGTGAGAGTTGTGAGAACATAAATTATAAAAACTAAAAATGTAAACAATTTGTTCTCTATATGCATATGATAGATTCTATATTTTTATCATAATCTCATTACCTTTTGGTATGACTACATATAGTATATCAAAACATTAAGGGTGGCTTCAGCTTTCAGTCAAAATATAATAACAGGTATCAGACATATCATTGTACCTTAAACACACAAAAAGTGGGCAAAGTACATGACAGGATTATTTTCAGGACACTGAGTACCAAGGAACAAAGGACAGTGAATCTCCAGAGTCAGATGACATCTGAAATTGCTCTGGGCAATTGCTCTGCCCAGATGCCTATGAAGAATTTTCCCCCAGAGTATTTTCTAGGTTGTAGCATGAGGTGGGGAAATTCAGACAAAAACTCAGAAGACTCTCCAGTTGAGGACAGGAGTTGAGAATCCAGGGTGAACAAGTGGCTACACTGTTCAGGATAAAGTCAGGCAGAGAAAGCTGCACAGAGAGGCCTGGGGGTTGGTAGACAATCCGCACATACATTGGAGAGAGCATTGCTTAGTGTGTGTTTAAGGAAACTCAAGTTTAGAGACTCATTTCATAGGAGCAGAAGGAGCAGTGTCTGGCACTCAGAGAGGGTTTATGATACCAACTGCTACCTGCCACCTGTCATGGGCAGTGGATACAGTACTGAGACAGGCCTAACCTCAGTAGTCAGGAATAATTATCCTAAAATGAGTACTCCCCTTGTTCTGCCTAACAAATATTTAAGGTAACACCTGAAGTCATCAAATCTATACCAAGCAACAGATCTATTTTAAAGTTCAAGAATATTTATAAAGATGTAAAACTACTAATCCCAAAATGTAAAATATATAACATCTGCCATTCCCCATAAGTTCAGAAGCAAGACAAGGATGTCTGCATGTATCAAGTCTATTTGACATGATACTAGAGATTGTATCTAGTGTAGTAAGGCAAGAACTATAAATAAAAAGCATCCATATTACAAAGAAAGAATCATAGTAATAATACAGTTGTTCAAAGAGCAAATTGATTATCTATGTAGAAGTAATGCAGTCAACTAGAAAGCTTCTCAAATTGATAAGTTAATTTTGCAAGGTTGCAGGACACAAGATAATTATATGAATATCAATTATGTTTCTATATACCTTCAAGAAAT